AATACACTTACAATTTAACCTTTGAGCAACATCATAACATAAATATGATTTCATAGAACCACTACCATAACTTGCTGGTACAAACATTTCTTTAGAACCATTCTGAATTTTTACAATTAAAGTTAGAAGATATACATCTGATACCTTAACATAGTTATTAAGAATGCCTGTTTTGTTTTCGTCATTTTTTAACTTTGTGACATTTTTTGTTTTGTTAGAAGGCAAATCAGGGCACATAATCCCAAAATGTAGATTTTTACATAAGGTACACGTATGTTTAGCTGCACACTGATTTGCTCTATGGTTTTTCTTAAGGCACACAAAACAAACATTCTTTTTCTTAATGATATCTTTCTTACATTCTAAACTCATTAAAGATGCATCTTTACAACTTTCAGACAAATGGAATTTTCCACAAAAAGTACAAGTATCAGACTTTTTGTACTTTTGAAAATTTTCATTACACTTACTATTATTACTATTGCATTAATTAGTTCACATGCAGTTGGAACAACAGGTTTTGTGTCAAAAAACTTATTTTTCTTATTACTTACTTTATCAGAACCCAAAACATCATGGGTAAGTTTAACTCTCAATTCAGTTTCTACTTCCCTTTTTAGAAAATCAATGACTCCAAATCACTCTTACCTGTTGTTTCAGGTGACATATCTCATTGTCTTTCCCAAATTTGTATTAAATCAGCAGGAAGTGCTGATTCCACTAAAGGAAATAAAACAACTGCAAATTTATCTTTAGTTAAACTGAGTGATTCCAATGCGCGTAGTTGAGTTTGCAACTTGTCATAAAGAGTTAATAAGTCTATCTTTTGTTTGTCATTGATTACCAGTTTTAATTGCTCTCTAACATAAATTTGAATTAAAACATTTTCATTTCCAAATCGTTCTTTGAGATACTCCACGACTTTTTCGTAATTTTCTTCAGTAGCAGGAAAACTTTCCACTATTGCTCTTGGCACAGTCTCAGGTTTCGTAGATTGCAGTAAATAGTGAAACTTGTCTCTCTTGTCGATGCGAGTATCTTCGTGTATTTTACTAAATCTCGTCCAAAACGTCAACTACTTTCAGGAGTCTCCATCGAACTTCACCAGTTTGATCTCCGGCAGTTTCTGTTTTGCGGCCACCGTAACTATTCTTGATGAAAAACCGCTATTTGTTGAACCAGTAGAAAACTGTGAATACTTATTTTTTTTCCTGTTGGCTTTTACTTTCAACGTAGATAATTTATTGTAATATTCTTGAGCTGCAATAAATTCTCTTTCGTATTCTTCTTGAGTACAGCCTTTTTTCTGTAGAAGTTCCAAAAAAGAGTCATTCGTATTTCGTAAAGTTTTATACTTCTCTGAAATTTGATCTAAATAAATTTCTAAATCGTACAAATCTGGAGAATCAGATCGTATCAATTCTTCTAACTTATTAGCTGTTTTCGTAAATACACTCCTAATTGCTTTCCGCTTCTGTTTTGGTGTTTCTAAATCATCCATGTTTTCACCTAGGAACTTCTCTTATTTTTTGTAAATTATCAAGTGTTGAAATCGATAATGTCACCCTGTGACATTTATCCTGGCAGGCTCACCAAATTTGTTGCTTAACATGTAAATCATAGGTTCAAAAATCTGAGCCGACACTTTTTAAAAACACCAACATTTATTTTTTCTTGCCATTTCTTATTATACAAAATCTTAAATGCAACTAACTATCAAACAGAAAAGCAGACGTAGACGTAATGATGCATCTGGGTACGTGATCCTCGTGACAGACGAATTCTTTAGGGTTGCCACAGTCTGTAAAGCAGCTGCCATGGAATCAATGCTTTGATAAAAGAATTCAGTTAAAAGCAATCCTGCAAAATCAAGCTCACTATAAGTGGTAATAACAATAAAAACAAGTTTACTATAAATCTTTACTGGTTTTATAACTGCTGCATGGCGATGAAAAGCACTGCATGTGTACTACAGATGTTTCTTAGTAATATAGCTCCTAGTAGTAATATTTTGAACTAATTTTATTTTTTGCTAAATTTCTTTCTATTCCCTTTATGACATAACACCCTACCGGGATAGCAGTTAATGATTCTGACTAACGTTCCGAAGGATGCGGGTTCGAATCCCAAAGAAGGCCGCAGATTTTTGTAAATATGACATGGGGCACTCTAACTATGTGGTGAGCCGAAGTTCTCTTACAAGGATGTTGGAAAGGAAAGAGGAATGGAAGACCCATCTCCCCCCCCCGGCAGTGCTCTTTTTCAAAATTAAGCTAAAGTCAGGATGACACCTATATGGTGCTCAAGGCTCTAGTTAATGACAGGTGCATATGACTTCTTGCCACAATGATTGTGGGCTTGTGCTGACCTTTGGACCTTTGGCAGATGAGTGAGATTGGTAACAACAACAATACATAATGCAAAATTTCAAATTTTTCTGATGAATGGTTATAGCTGTAAGCAGCTAGGGAATAGGGAACTTTAATTATACATATTCTGTATTTCACAGCATGATTAGCCAGTGAACAAGAAAAAAAGGCAGAGAAAATGAATTCATAAAAGCATCATGACTTTCTACTCAACATATTTGAATTGAAGATGAAAGAACACAGATATTTTGTAAAATACACTTCAAAGATTTTCCAGCCAAAAATAATAATAATAAATGAAATTTCACAAAAGCAGAGAAATCAAAAAAGAAAAGACTACATACAAGTTTTTATGATTTCAACATAAAGCTACATTGCTGCTCTTGTACTTCTGCTTAAATTGGCTGAATTACCTTAATTTATGGCTAATACGGAACAAAATGAGAAACTGTGCAGATGTAAACTGACTAAGATGTATACATTTTGGGCATCTGATCCAATGATTCATAAGTAATAGACTGAATAAGTTCATAACAAATACACTGAATATATCAAGGAAAATATGGAACCCTTCCTTAATTAAATCATTAATTTATCAGTTCATAACAAATACACTGAATATATCAAGGAAAATATGGAACCCTTCCTTAATTAAATCATTAATTTATTAATTGAGAAATTATTTTATATTAGCTGTTACATATAAAAAAATCATCCTTTAATTGAAATATTAAGTATATAACCAAAAAAAAAAAAAAAAAAAAAAAAAAAAAAAAAAAACACTTTAGGTTAAGCCTTTTGTATAAAATGGAAAAAGTGATGATAAATTGTTTTTAACTAAATTTACCCCCCCCCCAAAAAAAAAGAGAGGGGCAGGAAAAGAAAAGGAGAGATGAAATTTTTTAGACTGATTAAAATCTGGCAGCTCTGGTCCCAACAGAACAGGAGAAAAAGTTTGGAGAAAAAAAAACAGGAGAGTTTCTCTTGAAATTTATCAGGTTTAGTAAGATAAAAGTTATAAAACAATCTAGAAATCTCTTACCCTCTGCAAAATACCTATATGAGTTTCTAACTATTGGTGAACACTCATGTCCATAAATTAAGGATAATTCGGAGTCAAGCGGAAATCGAACTCTAAAATAAATATATTACCTGTAAAATCACTACACACATCTTCAAGAATCATATGCAAATTTCAGGAAGTAACCAGATGACACCGATGGTACGTCACAATGACGAGAGTGTAAGAGAGTGATATATAAGGAATACAGGCAAAGAAGTAAACTTGTTCGCCGGCGCTTTATAAGCACTTCAGTGCAATAACTGAATAGTTATGACATAAAGGAGGCATATGGATGATTTTTTACGTGGTAGACTTATCGGCCATCTAGAATGTGGGCGTATCCAACTGGAAGTATCAGACGAACTTGGAATTGCCCAGAGTGTCACCTCCAGGCTTTGGCAACGATTCCAAGATGATGGTAATGTGAGTAGACGTTACAGCACAGGTCGCCCCAGAGTTACAGCGCCGAATGAGGACCGGTATTTGGCAGTTACTGCCAAAAGAAACAGGCGGAGCACAGCTTCAGACCTGTCTCGTCAGCTCTCTTCAGCCACTGGTACGACAATTTCAAGGCAGACCGTGTACAGACGCTTAGGGCAGATTGGTCTATATGCTCGTAGACCTGTCAGATGTGTTCCACTTACTGCAACTCACTGTCGCCTGCGGTTAGCCTGGAGTAGAGAGCATGCATTGTGGACACCGCAACAGTGGGCTTGTGTGATGTTTTCCGACGAGTCCAGGTTTAGCTTGCAGTCTGATTCTCGCCGGACTTTCATATGGAGAGCTCCAGGTACCCGTTACCACCAAGAAAACATCATTGAACGACACCGTTACGGTGGTGCAGGAGTGCTCGTTTGGGGTGGAATTATTCTGGGTTCCAGAACTGACCTGCATGTTCAAATTGGAACCATGACAAGCCAAATCTATCGGGACGTCATTCTGGAACAACATGTACATTTGTTTCGGGGACGCCATGGGCGACACAATTGTGTTTATGGATGACAACACCCAGTCCTCAGCAACGTGCAAAACATCGTAAGCGAATGCCTTCAATCGGAGGATATCACCCGTACAGACTGGCCAGCATTCTCACCGACTTGAATCCAGTAGAAGCACGTGTGGGACATGCTTGGCCGACGAGTTGCAGCCCGTCAACCTCCTCCTACATGTCTACCGGAACTTCGGAGAGCATTGCTTTTTGAATGCTGTAATATCCCCCAAGATCAGATTGATAATTTGATACTCAGCATGCCTAGGTGTTGTACGGACTGTATTGCATCGTCTGGGAGATATACAATGTATTAACAATCATACCTACCATATAATATTGGTTTTTTGTAAATAGGTTTTTTTTTTTTTTTGTGTAATTTGCTCCAGGGAGGAAAAAATCACTAATTTTTTTAATAATATCAAACATATAGCATCTTTTTTTGCTCTTTACTTTTTGTTTAATAAATAAGCTTTACAAATAAGTCAAATTTGTTTTGCTTCTAATTCTACCTTTGCCTGATTTTGCATTATCCTTAATTTATGGACATGAGTGTATTTTGAAAAAACAAGCAGAATACCTTAAGTTCATCTTTGAGTTCATCCTCAAATTTCTTTCCCCATATACTGACACCGCCTTTCCCTGTGCCTGAAAAATAATATGTACAGACGTTACAGTCACTTACTTTATCAAAAAAATTAAGTAACATGTTAAACATTATAAATGTATTTTTTTTTACTTAAATACAAGTTTTAGACATCTATTTTTTATACTCCTATATTCAAGCATAAGTATATATATGCTAAGAAATATAGAGAACTTATAAAAGCAGGAAAACTTAACATAAGATGGTCTCCTCTTAGAATTAAAGCGTATTTGAAAGCAACTCAATGTTTTAAATGTTCAAAGTATGGGCGCTTTCAAGCAAAATACCTAGAACCACAAATATGTGCTAAGTGTGGTGAAGTTGGACATAAACACTGGGAGTGTAAAGCTACTCCAAAATGTATTAATTGCAAAAAGGCAAACGAAAAGTATAAATTGAAGCTTAGCGTTGATCATTCTATCTTAGATAAAAACTGTCATTGTCACAAACGACAAATGGATCTTTTAATCAGTCGTACTAATTATGGCTAGTAAAAGTGATGAAGACTTTAAAATGATTCAAATAAATTAACATCACATCAAAGCTGCTGTAAATCAATTATATATTAAAGCAATTGAAAGAGGCTATAAAATAGCCTTGATTCAAGAACCTTATTATATAGTAGATAATAAAGTTCAGGGAATCTCGATGAAATTTCAAACTTTTTGTGACAAAAATTATCCACGAGCGGCAATTGTTCTGTTTGACAGCTCTCCAGCAATGTTTTTGTATGCTTCCTCGAATATAGTGGCAATCAAAATTATCATTAATAATAAAAACATAGTTTTTGTTTCAGTGTATTGCCCCCCTAATGACGCCTTGAATGACTATTTATATTGTATTAATAGTATTATTGATTCACATGGAGACTCGGAAATAATTATTTACGGAGATTTCAATGCTAAGAGTCCCCTATGGGGTCCTTATGATCACTGAATAGATCCAAAAGGTGATGTTATAACTGATTTCTGCTCGACAAACAATTTGAATGTTCTTAATAGTCCTGATAGACCGGCTATGTTTTCTGGTGCCAGAGGCAAAAGCTGGATAGACCCTTACCATTGTAAGATCTCCTTTTGTCTTGAATCGGTCTGTTTCTATGGCTGTATCATGTAGCGATCATCGCTACATTGAGATTAGACTTTTAAACAACTTACTTAGAGAGAAGAAATTTGAATGTTGTTTCTATATTTGGGATTTAAATTGGCTAAATTTTCCTGCAGAACTCTATAAATCTAGTTTCCGAAGAAAATTGAGAAAATACTTCTGATTTAAATATTTATATTAAAGATCTTACTAACTCATGGATATCTGTAAGAAAAATAAGAAGATGAAAAAATTTAAACAGAGCAATGCTCTGGGTAAACAGGTGCATTGGTGGTCCGAAAAACTGGCTGTTTTAACCTTTTCGTGACAGCGCACCTTTGTTTAAGACACTCATGTGGGACAGAAGGGAATCAAAAGCAGTCACCATACAGGACGGAGGTTTTGCATCCCTAAGCCTAATTTTATAAAAAAAATCAGGAAGAAAAAAGTTTCGCTTCTAGCATTGTAATTTTTGGTATCATTTTAGATTATTATGTAAGGATCTTAAGTTTTACTAACGTTTATTTTATTTTAAATCTTTACTATCACTTCTTATTTTCTACTTCCGGCCAGAATTATAAGCGTGAAGGAGTTTATGCAAAGTGTCTGGCGAACGCCAAGTATTAAGTGTGGCCTTTTGCCAAGCAGAAGAGAGAAGCCGTGAGTCGAAGCAGGCCGCTTACCTTAGAAGTTACGCAGTTGCTACTTTGCCTTCCAGGCCAGAGGTTTTAATCCTCTTGATAAATTAAAACGTATTGTAGTGTTCACAGTCTCTGTGCTACTACGCTTCCTGTTATTATAAGGGCCAATCTTATTCTAAAGTTAAATTAGAGTTTAGTTTTATTTTGATATCTTTTAAGTTAGACCCCGAGTGGAGGGTCATTGTATTCCGAAGTACGGAAGTCATTGTATAAAAGAAAAAAAATAAAGGGTTTTGTATACCTTCGTCTGTATCCTGTCTACTTACTACAATTAGTGAACATAGCTTTAGTAAGCTCTCTGTTCTAGTCAGGTCATTGTATGTTTCCGAAGAGGTTAGAAGAAACATGAACCGTAATTACTTGAGCTCATATATATGTTAAAATTAGCACTTAATAACTTTTTTTTTTTTTTTATTTTACATGAAAATGTACCTAAAAAATAGCTTATCTTGTAAAATAATTTTCGGGAGCGCTATTCAAATTATTCCAAAGTTTTAATTGATAAAATCCATCAATAAAGTTTAAAATTAATAAAACAACACAATAAAGACTATTTACTGTAAGAAGTAACAAAATTTAAAATGAAGACGAGTAAAGTAAATCTCAAAGAACAGAGAAGTATCACTTTTTAACTCTTTAGAAAAGGAATCATTACTCTCATTTGCGTTAGTTAAATGGTTCACTAACCATACGAGGGTATTCTTCTTCTGACAAATAGGGCCTTCTCGCCATAATAGACTGGAGGTGAGGCTTTCCTAAATAAAAAAGAGAAGAAACAGAAATACATCTGAAGGCAATGCAAAATGTAAAAGAACTCCGCACAGTAACCCTAAAAGACCGTACATAGCAGAGGAAAAAAATAGAATAAAAAAAGAAATGGGATATAAATCAGACACGAGAATGTTTTCATTAGCATGCAGTGATTTAAAGAGTCCACCTCTGTTTATGCTCCCCCCTACACCATCACAACAGCTGATCAGTAAAATACCAAAGTCAAGCAGAATATATCAAACTCAAGGTCAGGAACCTAAAACTGTGTTCATAACTGTGTTCAGCTTCAGAAAAACGTTCCACCTAAATGCATATACGCATCACCCGTCCTCTGAATGCAATCTCTAGGGATGCATGGATGGGACATCTGGCTGTAAGAGACATTCTTAGGGAATGCGTATATGGGACGCCCGTCCTGAAAGCATTAAGAAGTCAAGCTTGACCGTATCGAAGAAAATTTCAGAGATGTTACAATCGTATAGAGAAAAATTTGTTAAAGATTCAATATAAGAAGAAATTAGCTGAATATAAATGAGAAATCAATATTAGTAAAAATTGTGCTTGGGAACAACTATGCGGCACTTTGAATATTCATCAACCTTTTGGCATTCCTACTATATTGCTGTTAATAAATATAAACCAGCTTTACAAATTGCCTCTTTGAAATATCAAGATAGGTCTTATACTAAGAATATAGACAAGACATTAAATTACCTCCTACAATATCACTTTCCTTGTGATACTACTCATGGAGATCTATCATGTCATTATCAAGTTAGATCAGATTGTAGGATACCTACAGAGACTGTAAATGATTATGATTTTACTTTGGATGAAATGGAATTTACTTTTAAAAAGTTAAATAAAGGTAAAGCTCCTGTTATAGATAGCCTGACAATGGATATTATTTTAGAAATCTTTGAAAGTAATAAAAAGTTCTTTGTAGATATTCTGAATGAATGTCTTCGGAGGGGAATTTTTTTTGAATGTTGGAAAAGGGCTGATTTGGTTTTATTCAACAAAGAAAGAAAGGATAAAGAAGATCCTACTTCTTTTCGCCCCATTTGCTTACTGCCTTCCTGGGGCAATGTACTGGATAAACTCATGACACACCGGTTACTATATTATTTATTATCAAATAATCTTTTAAATACAAATCAGTTTGGTTTTATGCCGGGTAAAAGTACTACCCGGGCTATAGATAATTTAATTTTTGACATCCTTCGAAATAGAAGGAATGGTAAAAATACTGTAATTTTACCCTTAGATGTAAAGAGCACTTTCAACAATGTTTGGTGGCCAATTTTATTAAAGGAATTGAAAAATATGAAATGCCCAAGAAATATCTGCTTATTAATATGTGATTTTCTGAATGAAAGAAAATTTCCGTTATATGATGGTAGTAAGTGACATCACAGAAATTACCAAAGGGGTTGTCCCCCAAGGGACCAAATCTGGTCCGTTTTGTGAATATTATGAAAGCTTTAAACATAAACCTTACCACAAAATGTTAGTATATAAGCTTATGCTGACGATTTTGTTTTATTGGCCGCGGGAAAGTGGTCGCCATACTATTGATAAAAGCTTTAATTTTCCCCACTCAAGAATCGGAGAAGTGGTCTTTTCATGTTAAACTCAAATTTTATCCAAAGAAGAGCTTTCTTTTGGGTATTGCCAAAACTAATACTAGATCAATACATCCTAGGTGCAGACTGTATGAACAACCAATTAGAGTTTCCAAGACAATCAAATATTTGGGCATTACAATCGATGAAAAGAGCACTTTTATATCTCACCTAAATCAAATAAAGACCGAATGCACCCATATTCTTAATAGACTTGGTAAAATGAATCTCCAAGGCAAAGTTCTTAAGAGTTTATATAAAACAGCTATTGTGAGAAAGATCTTGTATGCATGTGGCGCATGGCGGACTGGAATGGTCCGAATGCATAACAAAATTTTGCAAATTCAAAGAATCACTTTATTGGGGATTACTAAGTGTTTTAGAACTGTTTCCACAGTAGATCTTCAGATTTTGGCTGGATGTCCTCCGATCGATATTTTAGCAGAAAAAAGAATATGCTATCTTTAAATTAAAAGCTAGTAATAAAACCGTCGATTGTTTCAGTGAGATCTTCTCAGCTAGAACTTTTGACTTTGAGAAACATTCATTCATCCAGCTTTGTTGAAACGGATGAATTGGCATAAAGGCTTCCCCAATATGACAGGCTACATGGTTTTTACACATGGATCTAAATTAAATGGTCATGTGGGGGCAGCCTTTTGCGTGTTCTCAGATAAGAAACTAAGCTTACAAAGGAAATATAAACTTTCTGGCAATGCCTCTGTCTATCAGGCAGAGTTAGAGGCCTTATATTGGCTTATTTCTAATTCTGCGATAGATCCTATAGAAATCCATAGTGACTGCGAAAACACAATTGTT